TTTTCTGGTTCTCGAGTTAGCGATTTTCCCGCCAAAACTTTGAGGCGCTCGTACGCGGGGCCTAGAGGTGCCTGAGTGCTGGTACCGCAGCCCTGGGGTGGCACTTGCCCGAGGAACCCACTCGCAAAATTTTGGCGCCGGATTGCGTGCCGAGTTGAAATACCCGGACACACACACACACACACACACACACCGGGGTCGTTGCAGTATGCGTTTTCACATTTGCATATTATGCAAAAACGCATAAAAACCGTCTTTACACCGGCAGGCGGTGCGCTGGCGAACTATCACTTAATTCCAAACCTCGTCCTATCGCTTTTTGCATAAGCGTACATTATTACAGATTTTGTGCATGGATGCATAACTCTTAATGCAATACCTCACGTCGGCCAAAGTGGCACTGGCTCGAACAGGTTAAGCATAGTCGGGATGAAACGAGGCACAACGTCGCCTCGAAATACTTGGAGCTGACAGAAATTGCATGTCTAAACTGTTTTCAGGGGGGGGAGGGGGGGGAGTACCTGTGACTCCTTCCCTGTGCAGCATACTCGGGGACCATTTTCATTTACAAAACAGAATCATCAAGTGTAGTTCATTGTTTTCTCTAAATCTTGCTTACAATTGCAGTACCTTGCAAAGAGGACGAAGAATGTCCGATAGGATATGAGTGTTTTACATATGTGATTAAAAATGGATTTTGTGTGCAAACAGCTCCAGACGAAGAAACACCATCAAAATCAAGATACAGTAGAAGTGCTGCTGCTGGCTCCAGTGGAGACGCTGCTTCTAATTCCAGTGGGGATGCTGCTGCTGGCTCTACTGGAGGCACTGCGTCGGGTTCGAGAGGTTTCGGAGCAGCTACAGCTACTCCTCCAAGTAATGATTTGCTTTGTTCATACTAATAAATTTCTTTATTGATGTTTGCGGGACTTACTTTTTAAACTGAACTTAGTACCATTTCGAAACAATGTTCGGTATCTCTTCCATAATTCATTGACAGACGAGAGTCGGCCAGTATCAGTTTCGCAGAGCCTGGCACGGCGTGTGATGTAAATTGCGTAACTTCGCTGACGTGAGTTCCCCCACACAGCCTGTTATCTGACGATCTCAGTGTATCACAACAGTGTTAATAATCACCGGAATTGTCCTCCAGTGGCAAACGTCGCCTCGTCAGACAACACTATCAGCTGTTGCTTCCCTTCAAAATAAAACCGGTCTCTTAAACTAAGTGGAACTAAAATTTTGCAGAATGTCCGAATAATTGGGAATCATTTAATGGTTTCTGTTACTATCCGGTCAGTTTTTTACTTTCTTCTTTTATCAGTCAATTCAATAATTAATAAAATTGAAAGTTTTATAAGTATTGGATGATCAAGATAGATAATTTTGGCAGGATTTTTTTTCCATTGTCAGCTTCCTCTCAGACTGGTTCTGAAATTCCGTGCCGAGCAATCCCAGACTGAAGTTTGATACTTTACCAAATTTGTACTCTTTCAATTAAGTGCCAAAGAGCTTTATGTTCCCTCGCACTGGAAAAATTATCAGTGTATCCATTCTCCGGTGGACTGTGACAAAAAGGTAAAAACATCATGCTGGCCACTTGTAATGCCGGTCATATGCGATTTGCATGCGAAAACCGACTAATTACGTAGCATCAGAATTTTCAAATAAATACTTTTGCGAAGTGAATTCCACAAATGTTTCAAGTCCAAACAAAATCTCAAAGCCCGTCATATCCAGACTTTGTCGAATCCTTATTTTTTATAAGCCGCCAAGCCTCGCGTCCCCTGTTCCATAGCTTCCAAGTTCGGATATGGGTTGGTTTTGTAAGCTGAGAAGGGAAAAGGTCAGCTAAACAAAAAAACAAAAAGTCTGAATCTTACCTGCTTGCGAAAGTTTGGAACCGGCCTTCAAATTGCAACGGCTCTTGATTGTGAGAACAGAACATGTCAGAATCCCAAGATTACAGAAGAAAGCAAACCATGGATTTGGAATTTTGGTACTCAGGATAAGAGAAGGATGAAGTTCTAGGGATCAAGGATCAAATTTTCTAGTGCTTTGCCCGTTTGCGATCCTGACGTCAATTTTGGTTCATTTTCGAAAAGGATTATCGGTTCAGCGGTTCTCGGAACACAGCAAGGCTTTAGCAGTTTCGAGACATCTTCGGCATGTGTTGAACATCAAACATTTTCACCCGAAGGCCACAATGAACCATTAATACCTTAAAGTCTAGGAATTTTTCACTTATAAGTAAAAGCAATTTTCTTTGTAACCAGATTCACGGACAATACTCGTACCAGAAGGCCGAGTTCACGTGTCGCGCTTGGAATGCAACAATAGCCGCACCAAAAGATACGCTT